TCCATTTTGATGCGTGGTAAACACAATTAATCATAGAAATAATATAGAGAATTGAAAATAAGCCCTAATAAATTCGTTTTACATATTTTGCAACTGCAATTTGATGGGAGATTCGTATCGTCTTAACATCAAGGATGTGTTGCAGGATAGAAAATAAGAAGACGGAACCCATGTTTTCTGAAATAATCGAGCTAAACTCAAATATTTTTTTAATTAAATTCAAAACATATTTAGTATATACTATTATAAACAGTAATGCTGTTGATCATTTTATGTTAAATATGAAAGATTACAAAATAGATATCTCAATATTAATAATTTGTTGTTACAAAATAAAATAACAAATAGAACACGTTACTGCATTAAAAGTTATTAATAATAGTTGTGACACTTTATTTGTACTTAATCTTGAGCCTTTCTCATAAATTGACCTGACGAAGCCCTACCTTCTTTAGAAAATATCCGCTCAACATCTGGTTTAACAATTGTGTCCAATGAAAATCACCAAACAAGTAGGTAGACATATTTTACCAGTTCGGAACTTTTAATCGTGCAATACAATGCAAATGGACATCATCTGGGGAGCATCTGGACTACAGACGGAGAGTAAGACATAGGGAATTGCTGCCGGGATTGTATCGATACGATTTCATTTAATTTAATCTTTTCTTGGTACGAATTTGCGTACCTAATCAATCAGGCGATGTAAAACAGTTTTTCAAAAACTTTATTGGAGCGGATCTTAGGCACAATTTTGTTGCACAACATCGATTAAATGTTGTTGTTAAAACAATATTTGACAGTGCACGGCAATGTTGAATCTCATTTGCAATGATAATTACCCGGTCATTTGAAGATTTTCAAAAGTTTGTAATACATTTCTCTGCAATTTGATGGACGATCCGCATTTTTTTGCACTTAAACTACTTTAGTGTGTATAATTGTGTGTGTGCTTTAATTGGAAATTTAAAAGGAGGCGAAACTCGAACAGGCATTTAGTTCATGGGCACCCTTTACCTAGTATTTGCAGTATCTGCAGCTTCTCCCTTTATAATTTGTTGATTCATTGTTATCAGCGTTATAAAATAAACTGCACAGAACACAATAATATCACACTTAATAATTGAGAAATCAAAATCACTGTC